TTGAGTTTTTTGGTGGAAATTTATAAAATTCAACACAATTCAGGCCAAATTTTCAGTCTATTTAAAAACCTGTGGAATATTGTTATCGGAAAAACATGATTGTTCCTTGAAGTGAAATTGATTCACGTGTTTGGTGGAAAACACATCAATCACTTTGTGAGAGTAAGCAATTCCATCATGAAAGACAAATTACTCAGTTTTTCCATGAATTTCGTGCACAAATTTTTTCGAATACGAAATTAATTAGGCGACTGTGTATTATAAACCGTTGTTTTATCATGATTAATTGCATAAATCGCTAATTAAACGGCAATATCATCTCGAATAAATCAAAATTGGTGGATGCGCCGGGTCTGGCGTCACACACACTCTGAAAGCTCTTTAGTAAATTGACACTTGTGTTTTAGCTTGTGTCGGATTCGGTACATGTAATCGATAGGATGCGAGAAAGATGGAGTCGCTTGCCCTAATAGGACTCTGACGTCGTTATCGAATATGTATTGAGGTAGAATTTAATGCGATTAGGGAGGAAGCAGCGAACAATGCTACGAATGGATTATTTATGACACGGCCTAATTGTAACAATCTTATGTACACATGAAATATCAACTCTATGCTACAATACCTCGTTAAATGAAACGACAAAGTGAGCTTTTTAGTGTATTCAACTGTCTCTGAAGAGTTACCTCAAGATCACAATTCGCCTCATGAGACACGACCCTGTTTTAGAACTCAAGACGAACAAATTCGCGGTTTGGGTAAAGTCCCCAGTGAAAAATTGAAGCTTTTTTACTCCGGTAAAGTGATTTTTGTAAATTCACTTCCGGTTTTTGTTTTAAAAACTTGTGTTTGCTCATTTAAACGAAACTTCAAGTTAGTAAACAACGTTAATAAAAATGTGAGTCCCTTGGAGACTTTGGTTAAAAAACGCCACTGCATGTTATTGTAACATTAACAAAGTAACACAGGGCGACAAAAAAAAATCATGGCGTGACAACTTGACAAATTATACAAGGTGATTCTTTTAGGGCCTACATTAGAGACTTTTTAACTTCTAATGCAGATAGGGATTTGAAATTTTGTACACAACCCAAATCAACCAGTCTGAGTTCAACTAAATTATTTTCAAAATGGCTGAACTTCCGGAACTACGAGAAATTGGCGCCACCTTTGAAATTTTAAATGGTACCCACTTATTTTTATTGCATTTTTGAATTCTCCTCTTTAAACTAAGTAAAATATACCTAGTTGTTAGTACTTATCTATCATAGTTTTTGACATATGTCAATTTTTTGGTCAAAATTTTCACTTGCAGGGGTTCATTCAAAACATCACAGCTCTTGAACCCTTTGCGATAAGTGAATATTTTTTGTTGCATTCGAAAACCAAATGTTCGAAAAATTTTCTAGAATTTTCAAAATTGTCGACTGTCAAATTGCAAGGCTAGTATGATTTTTTGAAAATGATCATTAACAAACAGCTTTAACTCAGTTTTTTCAAATGAAATGACTCTATTTTCTCAACGGCAATCAAAACTACATCAATTTGTAGAAGGACTTTTATCAACATGTCCTATACCTATCTCTTACAGTTTTTAAAATAATCACAAAAAACATGTTAATGTTTTTATTTTTATAGTTAATTACGTAGGCTTTGGAAAAATACAATAAGATATAATATAATTAATGCAAATGTTCGATATGTTTACCATTTTCAAACAGTCCAAAACTCGATGGTGAACTGATTTGAGTAGCTTCCATTAGTTTATTTTGGTTGAAGATTATTAAATGCCGCCTCAATCCTTGCCTCAATTCTTCATAATTCCGGATGGGTGTTGTGTAGACTAAAAAATCTTTAGTTCGTCTTGATCATTTTCCAAAGCCTACGTGATTTACTATAAAAATAAAAAACAAAAACACGTTTTTCGTGATTATTTCAGAAACTGTAAGAGATGGATATAGGACATGTTGATAAAAGTCCTTCTACAATTCGATGTACCTTCGATTGCCGTTGAGAAAATGGGGTCATTTTATTTGAAAAAACTGAGTTATAGCTGTTTGTTAAATATCATTTTCAAAAAATCATATAAGCTTTGCAATTTAACAGTTGACAATTTTGAAAATTTTAGGAAACTCTTCGAACCTTTGGTTATCAAATGCAAGAAAAGTTATTTACTTATTGCAAACGGTTCAAGAGCTGTGATGTTTTTAATAAACCTCTGCAAATGAAAATTTTGAGCAAAAAATTGACATATGTCAAAAACTATGACAGATAAGTACTAATAACTAGGTACATTTTACTCAGTTTGAAGAGGAGAATTCAAAAATGCAATAAAAAAAATTGGTTACCATTTAAAATTTCAAAATTGGCGCCAATTTCTCGTAGTTCCGGAAGTTCAGCCATTTTGAAAATAACTTAGTTGAACCCAGACTGGTTGATTTGGGTTGTGTACAAAATTTCAAATTTCTATCGGCATTAGAAGTTAAAAAGTTTCTAATATAGGTCCTAAAAGAATCACCTTGTATATCATTTTGTTCGTCTCAGTGAGACAAATGCACAAAAAAAATTCAAAAAGTCCACACTTTAAACTAAATAATTTTTTTCTAATTTAAATGAATTTAAAATACTTTAACTTTAAAAAATCATTACTCAATAACTATTAGGCCGATTTCCTTCAAATAAAGACCATTCTAAAGGGATAGCCTTGCCCTTTAGAATGATATGAAATTTGAAATTGAATATTGGCAAACAGTGTTCGAAGAAGTTCTAAGTAAATCGAAATAATCTAAGATAAACCCTACGAATATTTTTTTTCCATCATTACCATCTCTTTATTAGTTGTAATCCAAATTTTCAAAAGAATATACGGAGTAGTTTTCAAGATATGATTTTTTGAAGTTAAGGTTTGCTAATCAAGTTTTGCTCCATATGGGAGAAATGCATGTTAATCTTACTTAAAATTTTATAAATGCCCACTGATCATTGAGCAAAGAGGATCTAGAAAAAGATTTGTTCATATATTTAAAGCTACTTCTTTAAACTTCTAGATCTTTTTTGCTCAATGATCAGTGATCATTTTTAGAACAAAAAAACTCTTTATTTGCTTTAATTAGTACGCAGGTACCTACTGTTTATTTGTTTTAAGTAAATAAACCTTAACTTCAAAAAATCATATCTTAAAAACTACTCAGTATATTATTTTAAAAATTTGGATTCTCATTAATAAAAAGATGCTCTACACGATGGTGACAAAGAAAAAAAAATTTACTCCTAGGGTTTTTCTTAGATTACTTCGACTTCGAACACTGTTCGAAGAAAAGTTTGCCAATGTTCAATTTCAAATTGCATATCATTCTAAAGAGCAAGTCCATCCCTTTAGAATGGTTTTTATTTGAAGGAAATCGGCCCAATAGTTATTGAGTAATGATTTTTTAAAGTTAAAGTATTTTAAATTCATTTAAATTAGAAAATAAAATTTAGTTCGAAAGTGTGTGGACTTTTTAAAATTTCTTTAGTGCATTTGATTTGTCTCACTGAGACGAACAAGATAATATAAAATTTGTCAAGTTGTCACGACATGACTTTTTTTTGTCGCCCTGTGACAACTTTTTTTGTCCCCATGCGACAACTTTTTATTTAGTTTTCCATATTTTGTTTGTAAATTAGAGTCGCGTCTTTATTAACTCGTCTTAAATGAAATTATTTATTATTCACGGTTTTATTACATTACTGTGGGCTCTAATAGCGGCATTTTAATTAATGTCTGTTCATTACGCCGAAAGCTTGCATTTTTTAACGAAGTTATTTATTGAAGGGTTGAGATTTGGCGGTGGCGAGACTACCGGTTTTAATAAACAATGAATCTGATTCCAATTGGCGGATTATCACCCAGATGTGATCGAAAAAGATTAGTTATTTAAGTCAGACGTCTGATGATTTTTTTAGTACGAAGAGTATTTATAATCCAGGGTCAAGGTTTCGTGAAAAAATACTTTGATTCTGAATCGTTATTAAAACTTATCCAACTCAAGGCATTAAACCTTCTTTTGATCTTTTCTCGACTCTTTCTCTTAATTCAGAATTATTGTTTCTAGAACCGCAAAAAACGATGCTTATCTACGCATCCTGAGGGAGGATTTTATTTAATAACTTTCTGGGGCTCTAGGGTTCGGGTAAAATAACCCTCTTGAGGCTTTTTCACCAAAGGATTTGATGATATATTGGGTACATATCTCTTTACAACAAAAATATTACTTTTTTTTCTCAGTTAATCAGTTGTAACCATTATTAAACCTTCGTTATCGGGGTATTACGGTCCTGTAAAGAAAAATCCTTGCATTTCAGACGATTAATCACGCCGTCTTGAGGGGTATTAAAGTCGTTTTAGTCCCATGATCGAGGGAACGAAATCTCCAACATAAATATAATGTGAGAAAATACGTTTTTTACAGGACCGTAATGCTGTTTTTCTAATGGCTTTGAATACACCGCAAATGAGATTATAAATATGGCGATAAATCATCACAGCAGGGCCGGATTTGAAATGAAATGGGAATAATATAATAAAAAATGTTTTAAATTAAAATCTCGTTTATTTACTTGTTCTTACTTTTCGATGATTTAAAAAAATCCAAGGTTGTGCGTCTAAATATAAATAAATAATCAATCATTTTAAAAATAACGAAATTTAAAATTTTCATAAAAAAACGTGAAAATAATTTGTCATGGGCTGAATTTTTTTAGAAATTTATAACCCTTTTTGTAATTTTTCCGTTAGTGACAAAATCAATACACGAAATTTGTTATTTCTCCAAGTGCCTGAAATGCAATAAAAATAGTAAGGACGGAGGAAAATACCGGAATAAATTAAATCAAAATATCACAATAATGAAATGGAATGTGGGTGGTTTTAATAACGTTTAAATTGAATGAAAAGAGGAATAAAAAGGCTGCCAGGTTTAATTTTTGATTCGAGTTAAAAAATCTCTCTATTGTTTCAGAGCTGCAATTCTAATTTGGCACCGTCCTACCAATAGCCCCTAAAATGGATCGTTCTTGGTGAGTATATCTCGTCGAAATCGCGTGCGAGTGGCACTAACTCACTAAAAATCGGCCGTTTTGGCGACACTTTCATGTTTTCATTCTTGGAATATCTGTGAGCGAGCAGAATTCGTCGTTTTTATGTAATTTCGCTATTTTTACTCAAGCCGTGTTATAAAATGTAAAGTGAATTCCTCAATGTCTAGATAAACATTGGCCCGAGTCCAAGTAAAACAAGAATTACCTTGATGCATGAGCCAACAAAGAGAAAAACGTTATTAAAAAGGGCTCGACTTAATGAGATTTGAGGGCTTTAGCACACTCGGTAACAGTTGCTTAATCTCGACATCTATAAATTATTATCATCGACGGAAAGTTTAAAACGCCGGAAACTTTACCACAATCTTTCGAAACTTTATTTTCCGAATTATTAGTTTTGTTTTTTAACTACGTGACGGGAATATCGATATCGGTTTTATTTGAGATTCCGACAGGAGGTTAACCAGCTTTTTCCAAGAACTACTTATCTCAGATAAATTTTACGCCAAAATCAATCGAATTTATCTTCTAAATCCGAAGTTTGAGAGGAGCTGGGAGATATACAGGTGCGCCAGAATTCGCGCCCCAGAGAAAATTTTCAGGTAAGATAAGATACCAGGAACATGGAAAAAATGTTTAAAAAATTCTGTCTATAAAAATTTCAGAGTTATGAGAGTTTAAATTTTGCAATTTTTGTTGGAAAAATATGAGATATGAGAAAACGTCAAATGTCAAAAAATAAACGTCAGAATTTTTTGACATTTTGTTCCTGGTATCTTATCTTACTAGAAAATTTTCTCTGGGGCGCGAGTTTCTGTATATTTGAAGAAATAAATAATAAGAATAATTAATTTACTATGGTTTATTTTGTGTTAACAAAATGTTCAACAAAGAAAAGAATTATTATGTTATAAAATAATTATTCGAAACTTTGCACTATTATTATCTGTGGTTTTTTCAATTTTGCATCGTCATTTGTTTTAAACAAAATATTTTTTTTTACAAAAAACGCAAACATAAATTGAAGAAAACATCATTCCTTCAATTTTGACATTTGTTTTTTGACATTTGACATTTTTTTATGTCTATTTAATGAAACTGATGACCTTGTATTTTTTTTTACAATTATTTAGTAAAGATACAAAAATTTTGCTAATAAAAGCCTCAAATAATATTGAACAGAGTTATAATTTAGGATACAGCTTCCTTGTTTCCTCTTCTAACAGCCTGTAGTAAAAAAAACTTGTAAAATTTTTCCAACAAAAATAAATAGGGTCAAAGGGCAAAATTTAAACTCTCATAACTTCGAAATTTTTTTTACACTTTTTCCATGTTCCTGGTATTTTACCTTATCTCTGGGGCGCGAGTTCTGGCGCACCCTGTATACAGGGTCGTAAAAAGTATGGATACAGCTAAATATTTTCAGAACGGTTTAACAAAGCATGTCAAAATTTGGGAAACAGAAGTGTTCAAATTCTATCATCATTTATTTTCAAAATACAAGGCTAAGTTGATTTTTTTTAATGGCACGTAGGGCCTAAATTAGTAATTTTTAAAAGAGCATTTTTTTCTGAATTCTGTGATGTAACATATGCCCATCTTTATTTTCATTAAAAAAAAAGTAAAAAAAAAATTCAAAAATGTAATTCTGTACAAAACTAAGTTAGTTTGAAAATGCTATTAATAGCGGTCTGCCACTTGCATATTAGTCAAAAATTAAACTTGTGTGCAATAATTAGTTTAACAATGGTACATTTAAGTGAAATTGAACTTAAATTCTCAATTCTCAAGTCATTTTGAACATCGTTTGTAGCATAAAAATTATGTATTTCGTTTAATTAAAATGTGTTCTTTTTCAGTTAAAATAAATGTTATTCTAACTAACAATTATTATTAATTTTTACTTATTTTTTGGTCAAAGTTTAGGCGACAAAGAGCTAACGATAGATAAAGATAACATTTTCAAGGCTAACAAAATTTTACTCCTACATTTAAAAAAAATATATATATTAGTTCGATATTTTTTTAAGTTTTGATTAAAATAAGGTATGGATGTGTTACATCACAGAACTCAGAAAAAAATGCTCTTTTTAAAAATATTAAATTTGACCCTTCTTGCCATTAAAAAAAATCAATTTAGCTTTGTATCCCCAGAGCAAATCGAGATAGAAATTTGATAAACATATGAGACGATGGAATTTAAATACTTTTAAGCATTTACCAAATATCAATAAGTTTTGATGAATAGTTTTTATAATATTTAACTGTATCCATACTTTTTAGCGACCCTGTATAAAAAATTTGTCTGAGATTTGCACGTGTTTTTGCTATTTTGCTATTATTTATTTATTTTCCGAAAGGAAAAGTTTAATAATACTATAAAAAAAGTATCTTATTTGCAGTTGCACTTTTTGTACTTATTTTCATTATTCGGTCTGGCATCCCCGAATCCTCTGAAAATGCAAACAGGATGTCAAAACTGATGTTTGTTACAAAGTATTCAAATGTGTTCATGTTTTTCGTTGCAAAACTTCCACCAACATATCAATGCAAATATTAAAGTTTTAAACTTGCATCGTTTCATATTTTTGTCTATTATGCAAATTGCGTTCTTTTCCTTTCAAACCTAACCGTTTTGGAGTGTAGACTAACCGAGCCACTCTGTGTAAAAACCGTCCATTTTCTAACACACATCTAGCAGGTTATTTTTCCAGACGACGGCGTCGAACTATTGGGACTGGCGCTATAAAATGTCCCGTCTGTCTCAATTCTACACCGTTGAGGTGGGCGACACCAAATTCACCATATTGAAGAGGTACCAAAATCTGAAACCGATTGGTTCAGGAGCACAAGGAATCGTTTGGTGAGTCCCTCCCCTATTTTAAACTATTGCTTGAGTAGAATTTTTCGTTTTTCTCTTTTAGTTGTTGCTTGTTCTAATTTTGGTTTGTTTGTGTTGTTGTTTTTTTTTTTTCTTTAAATAAATAAATTAGTGCACGATGGCGTCAATCAGACCCGGATTTACACAGCACATATTCGGAGATACAGAATTTTGGGTTCCCGATCATTACATTAATTTGGAACCCAAAGGCGGTGGGGCGCAAGGGTTAGTTTGGTAAGTGGGTTCCTTTCACCTACAAAATGCATGTGCATGTTTGAATTTAATGTTTTATGAAAATTTTTCAGTGTGATTTTGATTTCAGTGCTGCTGTCGATACTGAAACCCAACAAAATGTAGCGATTAAGAAATTGAGTAGGCCGTTTCAAAATGTGACGCACGCCAAAAGGGCGTATCGCGAATTCAAGCTCATGAAATTAGTTAATCATAAAAATGTAAGTGTGAATTAAGTGTACAGGGTGCTGCATTTTGGATGTCCGAATAGGGAATCTCCGAAACTAAGAGGTTTAGCCAAAAACGAGTGTAACATTCTGGGGCTTATTTTTTGAGAAAATAATATTGGTTAAAACCGCATCCCGCGATCGTCTTTTGTTTTCGACTTATACAGGGTGCGTCAGAACTCGCGCCCCAAAGAAAAATTTCAAGTAAGATAAGATACCAGGAACATGGAAAAAATGTTTAAAAAATTCTATCTGTCAAAAAATCTTGACATTTATGTTTTGACATTTGACATTTTTTGATCCTGTATATGTTTTTTTTACAATTATTTAATAAAGGTACAAAAATTTTGCCAATAAAAGCCACAAATAACTGAACAGAGTTACGATTTAGGATACAGCTTACTTGTTTCCTCTTCTAATAGTGTGTAGCAAAAAAACTTGGAAAATTATTTCTCCAACAAAAATAAATAGGTTCAAAGTGCAAACTTTAAACTCTTTAATCTCTCATAACTTCGAAATTTTTATAGATAAAATTTTTTTAACATTTTTTCCATGTTCCTGGTATCTTACCGTATGAGGCATTTTTCTCTGGGGCGCGAGTTCTGGCGCACCCAGTAGACAAAAATTGACATTTTAGCGAAATCTAAAAAAATTCATATCTTCGTTATTATAGAAGACACAGATTTGAAATAAAGACATTATACAGGCACTTTTTTACGTAGAATTAATTAATGTAGTTAACAATTTTTTTTTCAGTTGTTTGTTTAGCCGTAATAAAATAAACTTGTATTTTTTTAAATGGGAATAATAGATGGCTATGTCATTTTTAAAAAGCTTGTTTTTTTCTTATCTAAAAAATATATATTTGTAACAAATTATGATAATACATTTTTAGCAAAAAATTATCTTTGATTTTTGTTCGCAGTTGGCCATGAAAAAATGTTGCATCTTCAACTAAAAGGATTTAAACTATGTTATATTCAACCAGTGTCACTAATAAAAGAGTTTTCTAAGTACTAAGTAATGAAAAAAATGCAAAATAAATTATAAATCAACTTATTGGCGACTAATAACATTTCTTTGTTTTTAAACAAGCTAACATTACCATTGCAACTTCTAGTGATACATAGAGTGTTGTAAAAAAAGCCGCTTTAATTCTTCAATAAAATATATTTTATATGACACAAAAATGACGATATGGCTATTCAAATACCCAAATTCCGTCTATGTGGAACATTATCCTAGTTATTAGATCATCAAAAAAATGTTTTTTCTAATTGTGTTGACTGTTGACACATTTGTTTTTCTTATTTTTGGATTTTTTAAAAATATGTAATAATTTTGTTCTGAGGCGCTCGCATATTTGTTCAATACTTCTAAAGTATCGTATTTTTTAAATTTTTATAATTGTATCTATTTTTTCATCTATTTTACAGTTTACAAAACTCTTATTGATTATTATTTACACATTTGGAGGGAAATAGTTTTTCCATGGCCAACTATTATCACACAAAATATGTATTTCACTTTCTAAGTATAGTTATAAAAAAATATTTTATTACAAATATATATTTTTTAGATCAGAAAAAATAAGCTTTTCAAAATTGCCGTAGCCGCCTATGATTTCCTTTAAAAAAATACAAGTTTATCTTATTTACACATTTGGAGGGAAATAGTTTTTCCATGGCCAACTATTATCAAACAAAATATTTATTTCATTTTTTAAGTGTAATTATAAACAAATATTCTGTTACAAATATATATTTTTTAGATCAAAAAAAAAATAAGCTTTTCAAAATTGCCATTTAAAAAAATACAATTTTATCTTATTACGGCTAAACTAATGACTGAAAAAAATTGTTAATACATTATTAAATTCCTCGTAAAAAGTGCCTGTATAATGTCTTTATTTCAAATCCGTATCTTGTATAATAACGAAGATATGAATTTTTTTCCATTTTGCCAAAATGTCAACTTTTGTCTGTAAGTCGAAAACAAAAGACGATAGCGCAATGCGGTTTTCTCGAAAAAATGAAAAGAATGTATCACTCGTTTTTGGCTAAACATCTTAGATTCGGAGATCCAAAATGCAGCACCCTATATAAATGTGAGAAAAATTTTTTTTGTTAGATTATCGGACTTTTGAATGCATTTACGCCTCAAAGGTCCTTAGAAGACTTCCAAGACGTTTATTTAGTGATGGAATTAATGGACGCAAATCTATGTCAAGTCATACAAATGGATTTAGATCATGAAAGGATGAGTTATCTCCTTTATCAAATGCTTTGCGGTATTAAACATTTACATTCAGCTGGTATTATACATAGGGTACGATTTCCCAATTGTAATTTTCAATTTTTACAAAGTGTGATAATTACAGGATCTCAAACCAAGCAATATTGTAGTTAAATCAGATTGTACATTGAAAATTTTAGACTTTGGTCTTGCACGTACTGCTGGTACTACGTTTATGATGACACCGTATGTGGTAACTAGGTATTACAGAGCACCGGAGGTTATCTTAGGTATGGGATATACGGAAAATGTGGACATATGGAGCGTTGGATGTATCATGGGTGAGATGATCAGAGGAGGTGTACTATTTCCTGGTACTGATCACATAGACCAATGGAATAAAATTATAGGTGGGAGCAAAAATTTAAAAATTGTATAATTTTGTGTTGTATTTTAGAGCAATTGGGTACGCCATCGCAACAATTCATGATGCGATTACAGCCCACCGTTCGCAATTATGTCGAAAATCGGCCCCGTTTCACGGGCTTCCCCTTCGACAAGCTCTTCCCCGATGTACTGTTTCCCTCCGATAGTAGCGAACACAATCGACTGAAAGCGAGTCAAGCAAGAGATTTATTATCGAGAATGCTTGTCATCGATCCGGAACGTAGGATATCGGTCGACGATGCGCTTCTCCATCCATACATCAACGTCTGGTATGACGAACAAGAAGTGAATGCGGTAAGTAAGTGAAAATTGCGATAAAACACGTGCTAATAAAAATGTCAATAGCCTGCTCCTGGACCCTACGATCATAGTGTCGATGAAAGGGAACACACTGTCGAACAATGGAAGGAACTTATCTACCAAGAAGTTATGGAATATGAAAGTTCGCGCGGAAGAGGCGCCTCCAGTTCACAACCAAGTCCCGCATCTAATTCTATCGAGCCAAATGGGACGGATTCAATGCGGTAGAAAAGGTGGGTGAAACGATGACTCAGAATTTATGGCCCAAAATTATTTGACATTTGACATTTCAAAATCGATAAAACGTCAAAATGACAGAAACATCACTGCCAACTACTAAGTGAGTGTCGTATCACATGTAATGTGATGGTACAGTTGGAGACAAAATACTTTGGTCGTCAATGTCACTTGTGTGACATTAAATTGTAAAGTATGCTTTAGGACTGTTAACCTTATTTTTAGCTACTGTCAAGTTGTATGTACCATGGCCTACTTCATCTGTCTTCCGCTGCGCTCCATACGGCCGTAACATAACGAGCCAAAAGTCAATTCTCTTAACCTCAAAAATATCGTCGAAATCGTCCGGTAAGTAGTGCCATCTACTTGGTTAACTGAAAACTTTTTAATTGATATTTTGACAGTCCTAAATTAGAAATTACCTGCACCTCATTCAAAATTCCTTCTTTTTAAATTAATTTGTTACTGAAACGTTTGTCGAAGACTGAAACGACAAATTTGGTCGGCCAAATGCGTGCTGAGGTAAAGTAACAGTTTTTTGGTGCTGGCAATCCTCTGGAACAAGTACCTATTTCCATTCTAATTCTAAAAATTTTTTGGAAAATTAAGTCCGATAATAGAGAGGGTTTATATCATAATAAGACAGAAACTCGAATATGATTGTATATTCGAGAGCATTCTGTCTTTTACAAATAAGCAGTAGGAACTTAGGTAAATGTTTTTATTAATTTTTTGCTCATACCACAAAGTTCCGGAGTATTCTTTAACCATTCAGCACGAGCTGCTATATCGCTAAGTATTTCAAATAAAGTATCTTTTTCTCTACAAACAAAACATTTCTTGCCGATCTTTGAACTTTTTAAAAGAATGATTGAAAATTTGACAAAAATTGTCAAATTTGAAATATCTATAGTCTTTTAGTTATCAAGTAGATGACGCTTGTTACCGGACGATTTTTTAAGGTTAGTAGAATTCAACGCATTCATATAAAATCGACAGTATGTTACGGCCGTATGGAGCGCAGCGGAAGACAGATGAAGTAGGCCATGTATGTACATATTTTTGATAGGAAAATATAATAATAGCTGTCCTTAATTTGAAATTGTCATTCATTTTAACATTAAAGCTTGAATTACATTAAAGTGTCACAAAAGTGACGACCAAAGTATTTTGTCTCCAACTGTACACCCGGGGAAAAAACTATTCATCAGTCTTACTTTCTGCTCACACTGCGCTTTGTTGCAATAGTGTTTCCGACTAATTAGTTGGAGAGCAGGTAATATGACGAAAAACCCGTATTTAGGAAGTTGGTCGGGCCCAAAAAATGTCTTTTTGTGAAAATTACTTCAATGAGCATAGATTATAACGTTTACATTAAATTGTGATTATAATAAACAAGCTTACTCAAATTATCAAATTACAAATACATAAATGTATTTAAAAAATGTATTTTGCAAGTATACAGTGTGTTCCAGGATTAAGTTTACAAGAGGAAAAAAAAGAGCCAAAACAGCAAAGGAAAAACATTTTTAGCTTGACTTGACTTTTAAGGTTCTTTATCTACAGCTTTCAAAAATCAAGATTGTAGGACTAGTTTTAAATGGGAGAATTTTTTAATAATCTGTGGATTTTGCCAATTTTTATCCAGTTATTTAATCAAAATTCTGAACTAATAATACATTTTATAATAGTCAGTCAAAAGGAAACAAATTTTTACCTTTGATTTTACGCCAAAAAAGCAAAGGAAATACTTTTTTTCTATAGCAGATGTCAAACTATTTCTTTGAAAACTCTTTTGAGTAGATAAAGTAACACTTTAACAGCAAGGGTTGTTTTTGCTTTATTTGAAACGCGCAAATCTGTAATTAAAACTTCATTATTCTGACTCAGTGGTAAGAAAAGTTAATTTTTTTCTTACTTTTGGATTTGTAATAATAATCTTTCTTTGTTTTTCAAGTCCCATCACATTGGCGATTTTATTTTTTTGGCAACGATGTTAATTAATTGAATGATTGTTTTTGTTAAAAATGACTGTTTTTTTGACTTCACTTATTAAAATTATGTTTTTTTAGAAACATTTTTGTTATTTAACTTGCGTTAACTCATCTGTCTAAACGACAATTGTCAAAAAAATAAATCGCCAAAGTGGGATTTAAAACGCAGAGAAAAAATTACACTAGTTTAGAAGATTTTTATACTTTAGCTGAAAGTTAATTTCTTATAGATTTTGAGGCACTGAGTTAAAAAAAAACTATTTGAAAAAGTCCACCACGTTACGTTTAAGAAATATGTAATTAACAAAAATACAAAAACCGTCAAAAAACATATTAAAAGTGAGTTATTTTACTTGGTTTTATTATACTTTTTGGATCAGTTTTTTTATAACAATACAACAGTAATCTACTAACATGTTTTCATCTCAAAAACCATCGTGTCGATCTTTGAAAACCCTTCAGATCTTGATGAAAACGCTCGTCTTGTTTGTCACTCATGTTCCCTAAATTTTGCAATAATTCAGCAACAATTTGATAAATTTAAATAAATTTTAAATCGGAGGCATTTGTGCAGAAAGCAGGAAAATTATCGTCTGTAACAAAAAAAGTGTGACGTGATAGAAAAATTTAACAATTATTTTTGTTTAATTAAAGATAAGTTAACATAAAAATAATAATTCGATTAAAGGTCGTATTGTTACTGGTTTCAGGTGAAGCAAAAAATGTTTTTCTTAGGCAGTGTTAGCGTAAAATAAAAAAATCCGGGGACAAACTATAATATTAATTATTATTATGGCATTAAATTTACCATTTTGGGTTTTTTGCTTTGTTTAGAAGTAATAAAAATAAATATTAAAAACGGAAGAAACTAGCTATTTGTTAATAAAATTAAAAGTAAATCACAGAAATTTTGTTAAGGTAATGAAATACATGGGCATGCATTTTTTCTCTAAAATTTGCTTAGTGTTATTTATTATAATCACCATTTAATAATCTATACTCATTGAAGAAATTTTCAGAAAAAGACCGTTTTCTGACATATTACCTGCTCCCCAACTAGTTAGTCGGAAACACTATTACAACAAAGCGCAGTGTTAGCAGAAAGTTAGACTGGTGAATAGTTGTTCCCCGGGTGTACAACAAGTTATTAAAATTATAAAAAATTAAACATTTAACAGCAAGGTCATTCTGTTAACATAAGTGTAAAATAGCACTTATATACAGGGTGCGCCAGAACTCGCGCCCCAGAGAAAAATGCCATATAAGGTAAGATACCAGGAACATGGAGAATTGTTAAAAAAAAATTATCTATAAAAATTTCGAGGGTTTAAAGTTTGTACTTTGACTCTATTTATTTCTATTGGAAAAATAATTTTCAAAGTTTTTTTGCTATAGGCTATTAAAACAGGAAACAAGGAAGCTGTATCCTAAATTGTAACTCTGTTCAATGTTATTTGTGGCTTTTATTGGCAAAATTTTTGTCCCTTTACTAAATAATTGTAAAAAAACATATACAAGATCATCAGTATCCTTAAATAGATATAAAAAAATGTCAAATGTCAAAAAATAAATGTCAAAATTTTTTGACAGATAGAATTTTTTAAACATTTTTTTCATGTTCCTGGTATCTTATCTTACTTGAGAATTTTCTCTTTTAATTTAAGGTTCATGTGATATTCCTGTCATTTTGACGTTTTGGAGATTTTGAAATGTCAAATATGACGTTGAAGCCTACTTTACAGGAGTGAATTTTTAGAATGTGTCAAAAATTTGGTACAATTGCTTTTTTTTTTCTCGCTTGTTAAATTTAAAGCGGGATGACATTCAAGACAACTGTAAGAATAATAATAAAGCGCTCTTTATGGCCAACTTAAATATTTAGATATTTCACTCCAACCCCAATTTTCTTTCCCGTCATACATAATAACAATTTATCATGTTTGTTACACTAAACAAATTTGTGTTATTTATTGTATTTTTTGTTTTAGGATTTTGGATATAAAGCACAAGATGCAATTTAAGCTAGTCTAAACTATAATATTATTGAAATTATTACTGATATAAAGCCCACCATTAAGTAGATACCAAACAGACAGAGAGTATAGTGAGCTGTGTTTGTTATTGACGACAGTGAGTATAAGACTTCACACGGGTCCCTTTTTTCTATCAACCGGAACTTTATATAATATCCTTAATCAGTATGTGTGATATGATAACTTAAGACTAATTTGTATTTGAATTGTTTTTGTTTTTTCAAACTTTTGTCTTTTTACCAAATAAATAAGATTAAAGCAACGTATTTTTGCAACATACAGATATACGAAGCATTGTTTGAAGAAGGAACGTCGTTTTTAGACAATCATTCAGTTCGTTTGGTTCCCATTCAAAATACAAATTAGTAATAAATGTATAACAAAATAATAAATATTAGGTAGTACCTAGTTATTATGATTATCGGTAGTTTTGTTTAATATCATTATTTATTTTCTCTTTATTCAAATGCAATATTTTTTCTATCGTTAGGTTTAACTTATTTTTGCTCTTTTTCAAATTTTATAGTTATATATAGACATATAAATAGAATTAGCGACTATAACCATTTGAAATTAAGGTAGGAGCATCAAATTGTTTACATAATTTGCACACAAATTGTGTGAAACTAGAGAAAAACAATTACAATAACTTTATGTACTTGTGAACATCCGATCCAAAAAAAAACAACTGTAAAAAGTGACAATTAGTGAATTTTATAGGTGGATTTTTTGTTGTTAATTACCGTTTTGTTGTGTTTTTGAAACGATAAATTTATTTATTCGTGCAATGTGTGAACGTCGGAGGCGCTCACATTTTTGTTTCAATTTTAGGTTTTTTATAGTGATTAAATCATGAATGTGCAAAGACTTTGAAAGAAAAAATAAGATAGAGTCGAGTTGTGAAGTTTGATTATTTTTTTTTACAATTTATTGAGACGGCAATTCTATTCCTTTTTCTCTTTTTCATGAATAATGTAAATAACTTCTCAATTAGAATTATTTAATTTTTCGACTTTCCACTTGTTCTTAAATAAAAAATAAAGCGTTTTAGACGACAAATTGCAAATCAGTAGAATGTTTTCGTGTAGGTGGTATCACCTTTTATTCAGTTCTTGTTCTTTTTCGAATCACACAGACTAGTGTTTTACCGGTTTACAACAAGATTATTAAAACACGTTTAGTAATTTATAGTATACAATGCTTGTATTGTTCTGCTTTGTAAATAAAATAAACAAAGTAAACTGACCACTTGTATCATTTAACCCTCTTGTGTAATGTAGTTTGTTAAAAAAATATTTTTTTAGAAATAGGCTTTTATTAATAAGGAGTTGGGGTGAAATAAAAGTTATTATGTGGTATAAATTTGTAATAATTGCTTTAAGTATCAATAATAATGGTAGTTTTTTATAAATAATAATAAATTACAAATGGTATAATAACGATTACATCACAAGGGTACAAAAGTTTTAATTTATTTCATAAAACGTATAATAATTGAATCAAATAATCAAAAGAAGCAAATTAAAACTTTTGCTTACAAAATCTATCCTTAAAATTACATGTGTTAAAACTATATAAATATGGTGAAGATTTTCGCTGAGCAATACTCATAAAATATCACAATTGATCGGCTTAATTACAAAACGCACACATAAAACCCCCACATGCCGGATTTTTAAGTAATAATTTACGGGAATTTTAACAACAATCACCAATCATTTTCCAAAAAATCTCCAACAACACAACATTAAAACAAAGAAGAAAAGTCACAAAAATCAATCATATTTTGGTACTACTCCCTAATTACCAATTTTCGCGGGGACTATTGTCATGATTGGGGGGCGAATTCGACGAGGAGCTTTTGCGTTCAGCCCCTGGAGCGACCGAAAACGTGCACGTTCTTTTGTTTAATTCCGAAATAGCCAATAGCATTTTGCGACGACTCCCGAAAGCTGTCACTCCGATTGTCATCAAATCTGTATCGGATAGAGTCGCAAAAGTTAACAAATCGACTTCATGTCGAACAAAAAGACTGATATAACGGTCCAAACCCAAGGCACTGAGAAGTGAAGGCAAATCGGACCACGTGGTGTTAGCAACACGATTTATAAAGTGGGTGGGGGTGTGGTCAAGAATATTACTAGTGTTGTGAAGTCCCGACGTTGAAGGATACACTTCGGACGATTTCCACACATCTTCTTCTTTCTTCAACATTCTATCAAGAGAAAAGAAAATAGTTGGTCAAAAAATTAATAATTCATTACCCTGCAGGACTTGTGTGACTTATCCCATACCCTGCCCACATGGTAGTGGGGACTCGATAATTGTCCGGATTTGGCCTCCCTTGCATTGCTTTGAAACCAGCCAAACGTTTGCTGTCATAATCAAAACTCCCTGATTTCTTCTCATTCATTGATTGGTAATCAGAAGTGGTGGGAGGGTCACTAGGTGGGCTGTAGTTACTACTATTACTGGAAATACTAGACAAAAGACTAATATCAGCTTTCATTTGTTCAAATGATTGAAAACCGCTGCTATTGGACGATTGTTGCATCTTGTTGGACAAAACATGTGGTTGTGTTTGGATCATCTCAAAGGGCGAAGTTTGGTCAGAGTAGTGCCATGTGAATATTGGAGGGAATTGAGGTGATAAAGAGGGCGGGTTTAGATTAGTAGGAGTGGTCAATAGGTCTTCATTGGGCGAATAGGGAGGAGGGTTTGGGATATGGTAAAGACGAGGAATAACAGCCTCGATTGGTGATTCGGCAATCCCAAGAATTAAATTACGCGCCCTGTATATATTTGCTGGAAACAAAATAAAGTATTGTGATGAATTTTGGCCAACTACAGGGTGTTCCGTCTAAACCCCACATTAGAAGTATTGGGAGTTGGAATAATTGTATTTATTTGGAAATTGGCACATAGCCATAAACCATTAAGTCGGTTTCAACTTTCTTATTTGAAATGGAAAGTTATATTTTTTTACTGCGTTTTTGGATTAATCGGGTTATTTTAGGGGAGTTTTCATCAGCTTTCCCTATACCTAAATTTAGCCGTTTTTGAAATATTTGGAGTTTTTCAAAAATTTTTGGATCTGCACCTTCCACTTTAAAAATCGGTAACTCTGCCATTTTTTAAGATTTTGGATTCGTTTTTTTGGCATTTGAAAGAGAATGCTTAGATCCTTTTTCTGGTGTTTTCAAATTTTGAAAAAAAAAATAACATTCCAAAATTTTAAGGTTACTTTTGTAATAATTCAAATACTCATCTCAATTTTTTCAAATGAAATACCCCAATTTTTATTTTACTAAATAGAAGAGAATTTAATTGTGCATTGATATGTATTAACATTCCCTATACCTAAATTTAATAATTTTCAAGTTATGGACTGTTTTTTAAGACTACAGAAAATTTATTACTAGCCAAACCCGTTTTCACATAGTTTGCTATGGGTATCAAAAATGTCAAAATTTTCTCTAAACAAACGTCAACCGTAAATTACTATTTGACAAATAATGCCAAAATATAGAGAATCAAAGTTATGCAAACTTAATTATTATTGATAGGTTCTACCATCATTATTTAAAGCTAACAAGTGAGAAAAATTTATTTTTGTTTAATGAACGACATCATAATTTTGTTACACTCTCCATAAATACAAAATAAATTAATTAAATCTAAGTTTCAGTAGCTTTGACTCTCCATATTTTGGCACTATTTGTCAAAGAATAAGTCACTGTCGACATTTATTGAGAAACAATTTTGACATTTTTTATTTCCATAGCAAACTATACGAAAACGTAATAGATTTTCGCAGTCTTAACAAAAAGTCACCATAACTTAAAAATTATTAAATTTTGGTATAGGAAATGTTAATACAGATCGATGCAAAATTAAATTCTCTTCCATTTGGTAAAATAAAAATTGGGGTATTTCATTTGGAAAAATTGAGTTATAGATATTTGAATTATTACAAAAGTAACCTTAAAATTTTAGGGTTTGTTAATTTTTTTTTTCAAAATCTGAAAACACCGGAAGAAAGATCTAAACTTTCTCCTTCAAACGCCAAAAAAACGTATTCAAAATTTAAAAAAATAGCAAAGTTACCGATTTTTAAAGTGGAAGGTGCCGATCCAAAAATTATTGAAAAACTTGAAATATTTCAAAAACGGCTAAATTCGGGCATAGGGAAAGCTGATAAAAACTCCCTTAAAATGACCCAATTAATCCAAAAACGCAGTAAAAAACATAGCTTTCCATTTAAAATAAGAAAGTTGAGACAGACTTCCGGTATAACCGGAAGTGCCGCCATCTTGAAAATATTTTCATTTATGAGAACATAATGGATTATTGCTATGTACCAATTTTCAAACAAATATGATTATTCAAACTCCCCAATACTTTTAAAGTGGGGTTTAGACGGAACACCCTGTATCTGTATACTTACTAGCATGTCGTTCGATGCCTTTAATAATACAAGCTTTAACCATCTGTTTTGACTTTTGTCTTATGGTAATTGTGACGTCACAAGTATTTTGAATATCTTCGATTTGTTCCGACCGAACTTTTACAATTGTTATATCTTCAGGAAGATCGAAAATAATCAAAAGTGGCAAACTTCCAATTAACAATTGACGCGCGGTGTAAACATTGTGGATATTTCCCGAAATATTAACATTACTTCTCTTCAAACTAGGGATATTTTGGTCTTGAGCATCAGGGAACATAATTTGACACTTGGTGTAGTGCATGATTGCCTTTAAATTCGAATGATTTTTGCCCAAGACGATTTGGTGATGTTGAGGCGAAATTTGTATGGTCATTTGAACCGCAATTTGGTTCTAAAAAAAGAAATCTAGTTGAGGGGAACACAACTAGGGCTATTTACCGTCAAATTCTCGCACATGTATTCCATGAGCAAAATCGTAGCCTGTTTCACCTGCTCCACCTCCCATTCGACTCCCTTGACTAGTACTATAGTAGCATGCAGTTTCGACCTAGTTTTGAACATGACTTGCACCTTGTATTGTTCCTGAATTTTGATTACGTAAGGACACGTATTATCGATATTTTGGGCCATAATTGGCGGCTCAAAGCCAAAAATCAGCGGTATTAACTCCTTAAGAAAAAAATACTAGTACTAGGGTTGAGAGAGAAACACCACTTACCCTAACACGACTCCTCGCAGTTTCAACCCCTTGCAAATCGCCCGAAATCGAAACTTGGTTGCTTTTCTCCATCGGATTCGAGCGATTTGAATCGGGGAAATGCACATGGCATTGAGTCTCCTCCATGACTCGTTTGATACTCAGCCCCCCTCGCCCGATAATATGCGAATGGTCCGTGTAACTGATGTCCATTTTCATAGTTACACGATTGCATCTCGTGTACAAAACCGTCATGATCCTCTCTTTCGCTGCTTTGACGTCTTCTTCCCTCCCGGCGATCCGCACATGAGGATCCTTTTTCGATTTCGCCCCCAATTTGAGTTTGTTGGGCCATGTTATATAAGTGTCAGTGTCTTCCATGATTTTCTCGAAGAAGACGTCAGCGGGGATCAGTGCATCGTTATCCCCTTTTTCACAAATTGGAATTTGAAAAAAAAAATTTTTTTTTACTTACCACTAAGCATTTGCTCCAGTTTTTTTCGGTCGACTCTGAACCGGTCCTGGTACAAATCCGAGATGTCCTTTACTCCGTGTTTGGCGACAAAGTCCCTCAATTCTTCTCTTGAGCCCCAATTTGAATTGAAACCAGAAGTGGCCGTGCCGCTTTCGGACACCTCTGATTGTGTGTCGGAATTTTTTACCTCGATTCCACGAGGTGTAGTACAATTACAAGACATTTGTTTCAAAAATCACTACGTCCACAATTAATTTTTTAATAGCCCCATTCAATTAATAGTCACCTAAGCAAGATTTTTAAGGGCTGGACTAACACGTGTATAGGTGACAATTTTGTGAAATTTGCGCGACTAAACTGATAAACGCTGAAAGAAGTTTTTATTGGCTTTTTCTCAACTTGTTTTTCTTCAAGCTTATCTCACACACGCGCCAAATATTAATATTGTCCATTTTTCGTGATTGTTTTATTTAAATCTGCTATGAAGGGGTCAAAGACAAAAAAAACACAATTTAAATAATTATTTATTTTGTACATATTCGCCCAATATTCCAGCCACCCCTAATTTAAATTTCCCGCTGTGTCAATTGTCAAAATTCCACCAGTGGTGGCGCCACTTGTTTATTGTCAATTTTTTGTATTTTACATCAAAAACCGGCAAAAATAAATAAAATGAGTTGATATTACCCCACAAGACTACACAATGGGTGAAGTTATGAAACATCTGCGTGAGAAATCGCGAAAACGCAAGCAACTTCTCGCCCAAACTGTACGTATTGTAAGAGTGAGGTTATGTATCACTCAAAGTTGTTTTAGCTTGGTGTTTCCAACCCTGAAGAACTCCGACAAGTCCTCGGGACTACAAGCGAGACTCCCAAGAGACGGCCCGACTCCATCAACAACGAAAATGATAAATATGATTACAAAAAAGACACTCCAAATGAGTTGGTGTATCGTGACTCTTCAACATTTCTTAAAGGGACCCAATCGTCGAACCCCCATAATGATTACTGCCAACATTTCGTCGATACGGGTCAAAGACCCCAGAATTTTATCCGCGACGTGGGTCTAGCAGACCGGTTTGAGGAGTACCCCAAATTACGCGAATTAATTAAATTGAAAGATGAACTTATTGCACAGACTGCTAACCCCCCAATGTACCTCAAATGTGATTTATCGACTTACGATTTGAAAAACCTAAATTGTAAATTTGATGTGATTTTAATTGAACCACCTTTGGAGGAATATCAGAGGACTATGGGGGCTACAAATATGCAGTTCTGGTCATGGGACCAAATCATGAATTTAGACGTGGGGGAAGTGGCAGCACAACGAAGTTTCGTGTTTTTGTGGTGTGGAAGTTCTGATGGACTTGACATGGGGCGTGTGTGTCTTAGAAAATGGGGCTTTCGCCGGTAGTATTCACCCCTTTCTTAACCCCCAAATAATTTTCCATTCCAGATGCGAGGATATTTGTTGGATTCGAACAAATATTAAAAATCCGGGTCACTCGAAAAATCTCGACCCCAAAGCTGTGTTTCAAAGGACCAAAGAACACTGTCTTATGGGGATTAAGGGCACAGTTCGGCGCTCCACCGACGGGGATTTCATTCACGCTAATGTCGACATCGATTTGATCATTTCGGAGGAAAATGAATATGGAAGTTTGGAAAAACCAGTTGAAATTTTCCACATAATTGAACATTTCTGTTTGGGACGTCGGCGGCTCCACATTTTCGGTAGAGACAGTACTATACGTCCAGGTTGGTTAACGATTGGGCCCGAATTAACAAATTCGAATTTTAATGCCGATTTATACGCGAGTTATTTTACTAGTAATAATATAACGACGGGATGTACGGAACGAATTGAAGCTTTGAGACCAAAAAGTCCGCCTCCGAAGGGTAAAGGGAATTCCGGAGGACGAGGTCGGGGTAATTTTCAACGGGGACGTGGTCGAGGACGTTAAAAAACGACTTGTGTTTTTTTAAAGCTTTTTTATTTTATTTATGACACTACTATAGTCTCCAGCAGTGCTCTCAGATCTGACTTAAAAAAAATTATAACACTACCATCATCACCAGCAGTGTTTTCAGATCTAACTTAAAATATAATATTAATCTTGGATCACAATCACAATAAGCAATATCAATATAAAAACTATAATAACCATACAATTATGTATTTATATATAAAAATAGTGGTTTACTTTATTTTTTTCGTTCAATAATAATGACGCAGTCACATAATTTTTGTTTCTTTTGCCTTATAATACAATTTTTTTATCATAAAACCGGTTGGTACCATGTTAAAAATATTTTTCTGAAGACAATACACTGGGTTTCGAGATTGTTTTCAATTAAAATCAGTTAAAACATTAACAAAATTTGGCATCGTAAGTACAATCTGTTTCTATTGTTGAAACACAAAGAAAAAAAATTAAAACAAGTTCTTAGTTTAACTTATAAAAAGGTATTTCCTAATGTAAAAAAATACATTGAGAGAAAAAAAAACAAACTATACACTAAATAATTCGAGCATACAAATTGGTCTTAATAAAATAATTTAACAGCCTTTTCTAGGGAAGAGAGAAAATTTTCATTTTTAAGTTACAATCAATAATAAAATTAGGGAAAATTAGAAGCCTGAACAAGAAAAGAAATCGTATACAGTTTTGCTTTTTTTTTTTTTAAGTTTTAAAGTATTCTTCATTCAGTCTTCATATTGTACTGGCAATTAGTTAGTGAAAAGTTCATTTCTAAATTTCCCTAAAAAACTAGGGATAGGGTTAGGGGGAGAATGGCAAAAATCTTATAATAACCGGTAACCAAAGTACTAACATTGGCAAGATAAAATGAAATGAGATCAAAAAAAGCATTTGTACTCTCATAATTAAAAAAAGTGTTTTGACTGATTTTAAACTTGGTTTAAAAAAAGCAAGCGGATGAGTGGATGATTAAAAAAAAAGTAATGACACGATCCCTTCTCTACATGCAATATTTACAGTTTTGTACGATGCATGCCCTTCGAGCCTCCCATTCACAGGTACGTGGACTCCCCTAGAAATAAATTTAAGTAAGACTGATTTCCCAACATTGTACACACAACACAAATAAGCACAAGCACAATTTACACAATAATAATTACCTGAAATCCGTTTTTGTTCGAAGGCTTTTTTTATACGAAAATCAGACCAACGGGGAATTATTATAACTTTTTAATCATTGTCTCATTAACGGAAAATACATTCTTATAACTTGAGCTTACACAATACAGTTTATTAAATTCAAAAAAAAAAAAAAAAACAAAGACGAGTCACTAAGCAAAAAATGTGATTGTCCTACGAAGAAAAAATTTTGAGGTAGACGTCGCTAATCTGACACCAATTTAATAAACTGCTTTTTGTACTCGATTTTGTTATTACTTGCGAATAGATGCGAGCCTTGAGGGACGCCCAGGGTAAACAAAAACGAATCTAGAAATACTGGTATATGCACACGATTAAACATGGAGTTACGCAGTCAACAATTCCGGTTGTTGGTCGCTGCTTGATGTTGTTAGTTGCGAAGCTAATTCGCATTCTGACAAGATTCGGTAGCCGACACCTCGAGGATCCATTATAGTCTCACCATCCAGGACTGCATGAGATTAACCCCAAACATAGATTAGTAAAGACACATGCAGATGATTCAATCAAAGAGAGTTAATAAACAATAAACACGAAATGAATGAAATGGATGCGCAAGCATTGTACTTGAAAAAAAAACAAGTCTTTTCGGAAAAACCAAAACAGATCTAGGAAAATATATTCTTTTACAAAGCCAAATTTTCGTCGCTTACACAACACACTCTATATTTGTCAACTATACAACTATATCCTAATGAAATAAATACTTTTTCTCTTTTTAACAGATAGAGAGAATAATTTTTCTGTTCAAACAGCAACAATGACACTTAAAATATTTATTATAAGTAACATCACTGGATTTTGCTCTATTTGTTTCCGAATTTTATTCTAATTTTGGGTTTGGACGGGTTGTCTGACAAGTGTCGTGTACTCACCGCTTTCCCAACCTTCTTCTGCTGAATCATTTTCTGACCATTCAGCTTCGGAACTTTCACTCGGTGTATCTTGAGACAACCGGGGAATTTCAGGCGTGTATGTCCTCCAATTCGGTTGGTTCTTTGGAACTTTTTCAAGGAGCAAAGTCAACTGAAATTCAATTTATTAGAACAACGAATTTCAACAAGCTGAAAAATATTTGCATCAAAACTTTACGATAAGATTATACTATTAAAAACTGAATAAGTTCATTTCATCAAAAGTATCATTATCACTTACAATTGTTTTAGATTAGTAGATGAGAAAAACCCTACGAAATCAACAGTTCATATTTAAGCTTTATGTATACAGGGTGCGCCAGAACTCGCACCCCAGAGAAAAATTTCAAGTAAGATAAGATACCAGGAACATGGAAAAAATGTTTAAAAAATTCTATCTGTCAAAAAATTTTGACATTTGACGTTTTTTTATGTCTATTTAATGAGACTGATCTTGTATATGTTTTTTACAATTATTTAGTAAAGGTACAAAAATTTTGCCAATAAAAGCCACAAATGACATTAAACAAAGTTTACAGCTTCGTTGTTTCCTCTTCTAATAGCCTGTAGCAAAAAACTTGGAAAACTATTTTTCCAACAGAAATAAATAGAGCCAAAATGCAAAATTTAAACTCTCATAACTTCGAAACTTTTATAGATATTTTTTTTAACATTTTTTCCATGTTCCTGGTATCTTACCTTATATGGCATTTTTCTCTGAGCCTTTAAACCATTTATTTCATTAAAAAATAGAATTAAAAGAAATTTGTTCGATTCAGCAACAGTCTGTATTACTTCTGTAGATATTTTTGAAACGATATTTATTCGGAAATATGATCAAGGTTTTTTTTATTTTGAGATTTTCGCATTTTTTGCTACTAAAATAACTAGGTTTTTATTGTAAATTATGAAACATTATTATCAAATGACCTGACACGACATGATTTAGTTCAATCATCCGTCAATTTTATCATGATCTTTAAAAAAAATTAACATTAATTCACTCTCTTCCTTATTTAAATTTATATAACTTTTCTCGAAGTGGCAATGAAGAATAGAAACATTGATTAATAAAACTAGTTATAAGACTCATAATTTATGAAATTTATAGTTCTCAGCTGGTCTGGTCAGAAATTTTATCAAAAAAACATGTGTATAATAAATAAGTGATTAAAATCTTATTGTTCATTGCCACCTGAGGAAAGAAATTTGTATACGGTGATACTAATTTCAACAATTATTATCTTATCTGAGTTTTACTTCTCTATGGAAAAATTAACAATAATTAATTGAACGATAAACTCGAAAATCATCTAGACTTCTCGTCTTTTTTCTCAAATCTCACGAGTAATAATGTTACATACAAAAAATAATAAATCTTTTATCATGACCACCTGTCCTAAAAGAATTAATTCGGTACAATTATTATGATTGATAATGACTACTCGACAAGATAAAATTCCGCAGTTTCCTCTTGAAAACCTGACCTATTTAACGTCGTAGATACGTAACCTTCCTCCAACTTACCCGAAAGTCAGCACTAAACACTTTATTTTGTTTGTCTTTTTTATTAACAATATCAAGTTCGTCCTTTTTTAACGTCAATACACAGTTTTGTTTCGATTCGCAACTTCCGTTTTGTTCAATCAATTCATTCGTTCTGTCATCATCTTGGTTTATCACAAAAAATGTATTAAACCAAAACTGAAACACTCTTTCTTTTCTCCCGATCTTCGATTTATTATAAAACTCAATTTTAATATCCCCATTCAGCACCAGACACAAATCCATCGTGATAACCAACTGCGATACACCTTTCTTCACTTCATATACTCCACTTTTATACAATTTGGTGCACTTTTGTGTATGTTGATCATCTTGTCCTTGCAATGTTTGTTGCGATATCGAAAAACACACATAACCTTGCCCTCCTGCGAAATTCGGTACCGGTTCTAAGACAATCTGTTTAATATACATCGAAATCGGCATGTACAACAACTTGTCCCTGAGGAGAGTCTCATAATAGCGGATATATCGCACTTGACTGGGGATGGTGACACCTTTGTGGTCCTGTGTACGCGCTTGGCCGTAATGGTCGAGAGCCTCGTCGGCGGTGGCGAACGCCCCACTGTGCAGAAGGTAACAGCAAATCATAGTCCCGGTGCGTCCTTTCCCTGCCTTGCAATGGACAACAGCGACATTCTCAGGATGTTTGCTCAACCAATCGTGGACGCTGCGACAGAACGGTTGAATCAGCTCGATTTTGGGCGGGTTGTGGTCATCGAACGGAAAGGTTTGTACTCGATTGTGGAATTTGGACGTGTCGTAAGTACGTTCCGAACACAAGTTGTAGATGAAATAGTGGTTGTTGTGTTTCGAATCGAGGAGTTTCACCACGTCGTCGATGTGGTTGCGGTACACGCCTTCGATGTTGGACGCGGGGTAACCCATTGCTATTATGTTATCGGTTATATCTATAAATAGGTCAAGGAAAAGTAGGTTTTTTTTAATTATTTTCACTGAAAAATAACACTAGCCAACAAGCATTTTGTGACTGAGAAGAAAACTGTTATAAAAATGATAAAGAATATTCCATAGCACGACAGATTTTAAAGTTAGGCATTTTAAGATATCATCAAGTATGTTCGACAAAGTCGACGAAAAACGAAACACTTAAAATTCATTTTCTCCATTCTCATTTAAATTATTTCCCCCAAATTTGGGTGCCGTTAGTGACGAGCATGGGGAAAAGTTCCACCAGGATATACAGGGTGTTCCGTTTTTATTGTTACAAATTTAAACAGGTGATAGGATATTCAATTCTAAGACAAAAGTTTCCTATAAACATGTATCGAAAAATGCTTGGTAAGGGAGCTACACCCCCTGAAAAGGGGCTAATAGGTTTTTGCTAATATCTCAGAAACCATTTAAGATAAAATTACAAAATTTGGCACAGATGATAATCTTTATACACCCAAACGAATTCAAACGAAATTTCTAATCAGGGGCGTCCGAAACTGGTGGGGTTTAGGGTAAAAAAATATCCTACCTATTTTGGCTCTAGTTTCTTTAGTTATGCATTGACCAAAATGGTGGACACTTTGAACAACTCCTTTAGATTTAGGCAAATTCATTTAATTAATGTTATTATTGTTATTGTAATATAATGTTAATTAGTTGAGATTGATTAAAAAATATGAATTTCTTTCTTTTATTATTCTATTGGTGTGTAACATAAATTTTAAATTAATTTTATTCAAAAACAATAAGTCGTATCGACACAAGAGAGACTTTTCTGTGATAAACTATCGAACTTAAGATTTTGTTGCTGAAAGTACCGAGAAACTAAAGACAAAATAAATAGGGTATTTTTTTACCTTAAACTCCAGTTTCGTACGCCCCTGATTAAAAATTTCGATATTTGATGTTTCAATTTTATCTTAAATGGTTTCTGAAATATTATCAAAAACATATTAGCCCCCTTCCAGGTGGTGTAGCTCCCTTACCAAGCATTTTTCGATACATGTTTATAGGAAACTTTTGTCTTAGAATTGAATATACTATCACCTGTTTAAATTTGTAACATAAAAACGGAACACCCTGTATTGACGATGGAAAAGAGGTACCAAGGGAGATGGGGTCCAGCTATGATGGGGGATTACTGCTGGTTCCAGATAAGGGAAGTTAAAACACCCTTTTGCAAAAAACTCATCTACAATAGATTTATGTTAGAATCTTGTACATCTTTCAACATTGTTCTTGTTTAGTGAATAAATTAATTTCTTTCGTCGTTTATTTGATTAATTTCTATTTGAAATGAATAATTTGAGAAAACTATTTTCCTGTAACTTAAAATCTGTACGTGATGGAGAATTTTTCTTATCAAATTCGTAATTAGGGATGTTAATGTACCCTGATACACGTGTACACATTAAAAAAAATAAAATTTGTTGAGTAGTGTAATCAAAAAGGATACATGTCAGATCGAGATTAAACCCGTCTTGTTTATACCGGATTCTTCTCTTGCTAACCAGCCCCCTTATGGGGTTGGTGATGTTCATATTGGGGAAAGACGTTGCCATAGCGTTAACGGGCAAATGCCCGTTCAAATTGTTCGAACTTGTGGGTTCATGGGACACATGAAGAGGTGTAACGACTGAGTGTAGTTGGCCACATATTTTCGACGATTTATCTACGAGAAAGAAAAAAATTAGAATAAAGACACATTGTATCGATTGCAGATCTAATCATATGTAGAGTACCAATTCTCCCACTACGACTAAAAGGTCTTGTCTTTATCTTATCATTATTTTATTTAACTTGACGAGTTTTATTATGATTTCTATTCACTTTATAAGTCTACAAGTTATGCAATATCGAGGATGGGACAAAAAATACTGACCGACAATGATAATGGTAATTTATTATCAATGGAAAGAAAAGGAATTACAATTTGTGCAAATGTTTGGAGATGATACGTGACCGTTGACATGTCGACTTCATCTCGTTTTATACCTGCAATTTAATTAATACGAAAAAAATGTATTTTTTAGACCGAGGCGAAGCCGAGTACTTCCTCCAAACAGTATTAAATTTTCTCGTCAAGGGCTTACTTTGGGCAACTTGAAAAGTCTTTCTATCAAGTTGAGGACGTATGTTGCATGGCAATTCGTATGTTATCTAGATGCCAAAAAAATATTTTATAAAAATTAAAACACTAAGCTTATTAAATTGAATTATTGTATGAAACGTCAAACTAAAACAAGATTTTGTTGGTGTTTATTCATAAAAATCATTCACCACGGTTTCCTGTCATAATTTACATAAAAATTATTTTGACATTTCTCATTTGTCATTGTGACATTTAATCTTCCACAGACATATGTTTTAAATTTCTACGCTTGCTTGATAGACAGACTTTTTGATCGCACTGTATAATTTAATATTCAATTATCTCAAAATCATAGATAACAGCGCCGAGCCGGTAGATAAAATTCACATTTAATTAATTTACTGACATTTTTATGAATGAAAATGTTGTAATTTCGAACTGGTGAACACTACATTGACTTAAATTTCACAATACGTAATCAAATTTCACAACACAGTCAAGAAAAATCTTTTAAAAAAATTGTAAATAGATTCTTATAGATAGAATAACGAAAAATTAAACAAAATGCATGACAAGCAACGATATGTTTATTAAAATTTCAATAAAAATTTAAAAAAATATACATAAAAAAGGACTTTCAATGAATGTTGACCCAATTATCAAAACCGGAAGACGATAAATGACATCTAAATTGTGTAATTTTGAATAAAGATTTGTCAACAAGAAATTACCACCTAGGATTTGAATTTTTAGGAAAATTACGTTTTTCATTTTAAATGCTTAGGGTTGGTTATCCCTTGTTGTTGACAGTTGACGTTTTCTGTCAACTATCAATTGAGTTATCTATACAAACTGACAGGTGACTTAACCTAAATTTTTGACATTAGTTACGATATCTATTGTTTGTCACTAAAAACCAACCTAACCAAATCTATGGCAACCTATTCACGAATATCCCTAAATCCTAGGGAGTAATTTATTGTTGATACGATAATAGAATAACAAAAAATTAAACAAAATGCATGACGTTTATTATAATTTCAATAAAAATTTAAAAAATAAACATAAAAAAAAGGACTTTCAATGAATGTTGACCCAAATATCAAAACCGGAAGACGATAAATGACATCTAAAGTGTGTAATTTTGAATATGTATATCGAACTGTCAAAGTAACCAGTCACGTGATCCGGAAACGATCATGAGTATCGGCTATTTTTGGACGATTTGACAACAGCGCATCGTTTTAATGTCACAAGAAGACCATGAACCATTTCATTGTTGCCATATTTTGTCACCAAAATATGCGATTGTTTGAATGAAGAAAAAAAAAAGTGTAACGATTTGAATGAGAAAGTTTCCCAAATCCATTAAATGGTTTATAAATAACTCAACATAAACAATTTAAACGGTGAATAGTTGATGCCCTTCGCAGGCCCGGCAACAGCTCGACCTTCAACCCTTCGGAAGAGGGGCGACCCTTGCGGGGCGCAGGACTGTTTACACGACCCAAAGCGGAACTATTTACATATTGCGACCTTCAAGGTAATGTTATCTCGGCAATATTATGTCACTGATGCGCGTCGTTTCTCTATATGTTGGTATTTATCAACTTACCTTTAAATCGGTCCTTTGACTTGCCGCAGCTGGAGCACAGCCCCATAAAAAAGTAGTCTCGGCTCACAAGTCCGCGAAATGTTGATACCTCCTCGTGCGCTGGCGTGCGTCCCTACCATTGAACCTTCGTCCGCGATAACAGCCCCCGGGGCGCAGCCCCTCAAGAGGCCCTTTAAACGGACAGTGCCTCTGGTGAACAATCACACCACATGCGTTCCACAGCCGTCCAGATCATCGACATCACGTACTTGTCCCCATGTCGGAGGCCGGGGCCGTTTTCAGCGCTTCGATGAAGGGTTTCGGGGCCGAATTGGGGCTGTTTTCGGCTAAATCGCTGCCACACTCAAACGTCTTTGTCTTTTTTACGGCACTGCACGGTCTGTCGACACAGATTCAGTCAATGTAGACAACTACATCGCGTCGACTGGTGTACGAAATTCCGATAGAGGGCGCGCAAAAGACCGGGAATTTCGTAATTTCACAAGAATGAATTAAAGAAAACCGCGACTTCCGGACGAATTCTCTCAATTAAATGACACTGACATTTCGGAAGATTGCGAAACGATGACTGAACATTATATAGATGGGAGTTTACATACAATCACAATTCATATTTATGAGCTGGGAACATTTATTTATACAAAGTGGATGCGATGTCACGTGGAGGATACCTAGTTCGCGGAATTTGCACGAAATTTCAAGAACCTTTATCAGTAATCGGCGAGTAATCACATATTTTATCATGCATTTTATTTTACTCCCTCTATTATTTCACTGTGTGTTATTAAAGTTATTATTTAAAATCTATACCGCAATATTTCATTTAATGACTCATTCACTAATTACCCTGCTTGTAACAATTAAATTTGGATTTTTCGAACATTTTTCTTGCATTTGTGACTCACAAATAAAAATAAAAATTACATAAAACAATAATCTAGAATGCATCGATCACCACTATGGTGACGTTTCGAAAAACAATTGAAAGTGACTAATTATTACATTTTGACATTTTGTCAACAATTAGCCAAAATTTTTAACGATTCAACTCAATTACATATACAGAGTGTTTTCTAATCAATCTCAGTGAATTGATACGTTAGGTGAGTTGAAAATCTAGCTACATGTACATTAGTAAACTTTAACCCCGGAAAATCCAATTTTTTTCGAGACTAGGTTACAGCTATAAAAATTATTACATGATTTATAATCGGATTTCCCCACAGATAAGTGGTTGGTACTCAAATTTAGCTGCATTTTAGGAATATGTCTGAAAAGATGAATCTGGTTGATGCTTTGGAAAACCTTTACATTGACCCGTTTCCCACAAAAGCTTACAATAAAATTGTCGAACAGTTAAAAAAAATCACATCAATTATGGAAGAAGTAAACGAGCGTAGAGTTTGTTGCATCGGTGATATTCTCGCAAAATTATCTGATGTTGATTCCTTCGAAACAGCAGAATTTCCGAAAAATCAGATCATTTCAAGCGTGGAACTTCACAAAATGTTAACACAAATGAATATTTCGAACAAATTCAACACTTTATTGCAAAAATTGCTTGTTTATATCGTAATTAAGCTGAATCGTTGCACAAATGAAGATGCAGCTTCTATCCTAAACGACTTTAGAGAACTCAAAATTTGTATTTTCACATATCGTAAAAACTCCACTTGGAACAACACGAAATTGGATCAAATCATTGAAGCGTTCGTTGAAAAGCTAATTAGGAATGTTAAAGAGTTAAATGTTGATAATTGCGAGCAAAAGGTGTGTTTGAAATGAAGTGTGTGTGCTTTTACGATTCATTGTTTTCTAATTTCAGCTTCATTTGTTCAGCATTATGAGGATAATGATTACAGAGTTCGGTAAACATTCATTTTATAGTGCTATAATAGTTGGACAATTAACACAAGAGGTCAAGAAACATTACGAACATTTGAAGGAAAATGGGGACTTGCAAATTAATGATTATGTTCTTGAGAATTTCCTGACTTACCTATTTATTATCAATGATATCATTGGAACAAACATTAAAAGTATCAAAAACAATAACGGTAAAGAAATTTTAACAGAATTAAAAACCGTTTTGGACGACAAAGAAATTCAAGGCAAAATGTGCCCCCAGGAAGCTTACATTGTCCAGAATATTTTGCGAGTTGTTGATGTTTACTTAGCAGCAGAATAAAATGTTTATTTTCAATTATGGACCAGGGAAAACTCTTAATATATACAAAAAAATGTTTTTATTTCGTTTCCTTGCATAATCGGTGTTTTATTGGTTGCCTACGTTTATATACAAGTGTTATAACAGTGAAATCCTTAAAAACTTTTGCAGTTCTTCACTACATATCGCTGCAATTTTGAAAGAAATGTAACAATGGATTAACGTTGGTAATTTTTATTATTGAACCTTTTCACATAAATAAAAAATTAAGGAAGATAACACTATAAACCTGCGAACGCATGATTTCAACACGCAGTAAAAACCGTTGATTCATCACACCTGACGCGTAAATCTTTGTAAACTACACATAAAAAGTCATATTATGAATGCGACGTGCTAAAATATGAACAACTCCCATTATAAAGTGTTTGTACTTGAAGAGAGCGACTGAAAATTCGAAATTTCTCTAGAAAACTACATATGTACACAAGCACAGCCTCGTTGGGCGAAATAAAACTAAAGCTTTCTCTGATAATTAACACAATGTTTAAAATTATTTGAAAAATTCTGATACATTTCTACAGTGTGGTCAAAATGATCTATAATGGGTGCTAAGTACTGAAACCACGGCTGCTAATCCAACTCGATCCGACTTGTCGGTAAAGCCCCACAGTGCATTTTCGATTCCTTCATTTTATTTAATGAAACCATTAAATCCTCCATTGTGATTGGTCGTAACGCATCTTGATACTCATCTTCTGACGAATCCAAAACCGTGTCACTGTGCGTTTTCATATAATCCCTGACGCGATAAATGGACCCATTCCGACACAATTCCCTCAAATCCGACCCTGAGAACCCATCAGTGAGTCTCGCCAATCGATCTATATCAACATCTTGAGCAACTGGCTCATTTTCAAGTGTTAATTCCAAAATCTTTTTTCTTTGAAGGGCGTTTGGCATAGAAATGTGGAATGTGGCCGGCATACGTCTCAAAATAGCCCTATCCAAATCCTGGGGACGGTTTGTGGCCCCCATTACAATAACAGTGCAGTGCGGATCTGTGATTAAACCATCCCACAATGACATAAATTGCGCTTTCATCATTGCTGTAGCCTCGTGATCTGTGGTATTCCTCGATCTGAGAAACGAATCAATTTCGTCAATAAAAATAATACAAGGTTGGAGTTTAACAGCGAGAGTGAAAACAGCAGCTGCCAATTTCTGGCTCTCGCCATACCACTTGTCAGTGAGGATTGATAAGTCAAGATTGATAAATCTGGTTCCCGCTTCTTTTGCTGTAGCTTTAGCGATAAGGGTTTTGCCACAACCGGGGGGGCCATGTAACAACACACCTAAAACCAACTTTAAAACTGGTTTATAAAGAGTTGGAGGTTACCTCTGGGGGCTGTCGTGAGTTGCGAGTCGGCAAATAATTCCTTGCGCTGAATTGGAAGTATGACAGTCTCGCGGAGCTCCTGGATCATGTCGTCCAATCCCGCAATATTCCCCCAACTTACGGTAATATCCTGGGGGTGTATTAAATGCGCTGCTATCATCATTTCATAGTCGGATAAGTTTTCGATAACTAGAGGAGCATGCCCACTACCAGCTAACCTAAAAATTATGTAATTGGAGTAAAGTCACACTAGTCACTTACCAACCTTTTCAACTGCTCTTGTGCCTTTTTCCGAGCCTTCTTTTTACTCTTATTAGTGGGGTCGACTTGGTTCATTAACCATTTTATACTAATGAATGTTACAGCCGAAACCAAGGTTAACCTCACAACTAAACTTATGATTTCATTACGGGTAAAAGCAGCATCGGCCATTGCAATTTATCGCCGAAATTTCAATTACACAACGTTTGATGATTTTAAACCCGGGGCATCCCACTATTACGAAGAAATGTAAAAGTTAGTGTCACTTGTCAACTGTCATGTGTGGGGGTTGGCATAACTTTGTCACTAAAACTGGCGCAAGATTTGAATTTTTAAAATGAATTCTATAGCCAACAGTGCGCATCCGCACATTTTTCAGCTTCATGTTTTCAGAAACGACGCTTCAGCAGTATAGCGTCCGCTTTCAAACTGCCTCCGGTAACGTATTCCACAATTTTGCGCTTCAATTAAAATGTAGGTAAGTTCACTTTTATTAATAACAAACCAATTTTGCATGTAATCTAGTCGGGAATTTTTTTGGATTAATTGTGGTGATGAAACTAATTCGCTAAACTTTATTTCGAAAAGTTTAATTGGAATTGGATAAAGTGAAGATTAACGAGAATATTATTAGAATTCGCCAAAATCGATTTTTAGCCAATTTTTGTGCAAATTTAAACAGCTTTCAAACACCTGAGTCTAATAAAACGTAAATGTAATGATATTACAGACAGGTAAAACCACTCCCCTTATGTGAGTTCTTTGTGAAACGCTAGAGAGAGAAGTTTTCACTTCATTCAAGATAAAGTATTTCGCGTAATCTGCTCTTCAAAGATGTGTAAAAGACATTAAACTTTTATAGCAGCAGGGATAAAAGTCTCATATCTCTGTGATTTGGTATCGAGTGGCGTGAAATTACAGTTTATTTAAACTTTTGGTTATTTTTTATGTATAATATTATGATGCGAATGCAAGTTTACCTCATTTGTGGCTTTTATCCCGTTAGGAAGGTTGGAAGTTGTATGTTATTACAAAATAAATACACTTGCAAGGTAAATAAACGTTAAAAAAAACAAACTCTCCTTTATAAAGTTAAATAATGTAATTATTAATTAAACCAGTCATTTTGGTAAAGGAAAAACAGGAATGAAAAGCAAGGGTGGTAATAAAAGCACACATATGGATTTAAGTGACTAAAAAAATTCAATATTGTTTCAAAAAGTAATTTTTATGCATTTTTAATGCGTAATACGTAGAAATAATGCGAGAGAAGTTACTGAACTGTGCATAAATAAGATGAGAATTAATTAAAGCTGACATTTTATGTATTTCGGTTTGTGTTTGCATAAAGCGACAGCTCTTTTAGTATTGATTAAACCACATAATAATATAATTTGATAGCAAATAATGTCAAAAAAAGTTGTACTCTGTACTATATTACCCATTTTAATTTCAAAATCTATTACGCGAAAAACACTTTTGTACAGGGTGTTTCGCGTCCCAGAAAAAAATATTGACAGATACAGTTAAATAAGACACATACATATTATAATACCTGATATAACATTTTATCTATGCAAACAAAATTCTAAAAATATAAAATGTTGTTACAGGAAGACTTGATGCATAAATATTATCGTATCAACAAGAAATACTCCCTAGGATTTAGGGATATTCGTGAATAGGTTGGTTTGTGGTGACAAACAGAAGATGTGTCGTAACTAGTGTCAAAAATTTAGGTTAAGTCACCTGTCAGCTTGTATCGATAACTCAATTGATAGTTGACAACTTGACAGAAAACGTCAAAAACAAGGGGTAACCAACCCTAGGCATTCAAAATTACTTCTGAAAATTCTAGTTACAAACAACATGAAAAACGTAATTTAACTGTAACTGTTTAAACAATAACAATAACACATTTTTTATTTTATTGGAGCAACATACCCAATTTTTTCGAAAGCAAGCATTTTCTTGTCTGAAAAAAATGTTTTGTGGTTTCAAGCTTTATTTTAATTTATTTTTATCAACGCTTATGATCATTAGTGCACAAGCACTTAACTTGGAAAGCTTCAATTAATTAATTTTCCCGGCGCATCCACCATCTGAGATTAAACACAACTTGATTTACAAAAACAGTATAAACATTATTTTTCTTCAAATATGTATTTAAAAAAAATGATAAAAAATTGAAACTTTGGACAACTTATTCAACCATAATCATATTTCAGGACAAAACTTTGTCGAAAATGAGACGAAAAAGAAATTCAACTCCCTGGGGACAGACGTGTACACATCCCAAAATTCATTTTTTTTAATTAAATTGTATCCTTTGGGTATTGTTTTACAAACAGACTTTTAGCTCCCAATTAATAAACATAGCAGGTGAAACTGGTGGAATAATTTCATTTAAAGTGAAGACACGTAACGACCTGCATAATTAGGTAACGAATGAAACCAAATCGTTTAAATTCTAACGAAAATGCTCCCTTTTCCTCCTAATTATTTTTAATTAAACATCAAGCCCTAATTGCTTTTTATTCGTTTCCAGACATGGATCTTGCAACCAACTCATCAACTCTTAACGTTACAGCGCATGACTCTTTCCAGATATCGGACAACACAATAACTTTCATAATCGGCTTTAGCATCCTTATTTTATTCGTGATTTTGGGGATGTTGGCAAGCGCTTTCTTATGTATCACTCTCAAAAAAGACCCTTACTTGTGGGAGGCCGAGAGAGATCGTCAGCTCCAAGACCAAAACGAACCCGAAGGAGGGACCAACTGCAAACAAAGGGACAAATTGACAATGATGGATGAAGTCACACAAATTTGATTACGTTATAATTTTTGATTAAAACAAATTTTTGTTCCATGAGGGGATATTTTTAATCGAAACAGCAATTTACAAATTACAACAACAAACCTTACGACTAAAAAACAACCAGTTTTTTATAACAAGAATTAAGTTTACTTAAAACAATTTTTCAGGCACCTAAAATTTAACTTTTTTTTTGTAGGGAATTTTTGAGACGAAAATCTCCCAATTTGTACTTATCCTTATCGGAATTTTTTCCTTATCTTTATCAATTTTTTAAATGATCACCGTCACCGTCAAACAAGCAATTTTTCAATTTCAACTTGCCAACTTTCTCACCTCTGTGCCCATTTATCGACCCAAAATCATAATTCGGAAAGTATTCAACAAGCAACGTTTCTAATTTCTTCGAAAACATCTTCAGTTTATCCTCCGTGTGATCACATTTCTGAAAAACAACAATCACATTGAACGGTACCCCAAATCTTCTTACTTTAAAATGTTGACTGGCAGAATTAACCAAATAACGCAAATCTCGCACAAACTCATTCACATATCTGTAGCAATCTCTAGTGAGATTCTTTTGTACCATATCCAAATTTGGACCATCCTAAAAATTAAAATAAAAAAAATCAATGATAAACACCCGGAAATTCACCATCACGCATTCTGATAGTAATCCAGCCAACTCGGTTCCTTTCAATTCATACAGGATTTTTTCTAGGATCGTCTTGGTTTTTTTAGTGAGACCTCCACTTTTCATCTCGTAGACCATAATACTCAAAGTTTCCGGTTTTCTCCGGTAAGTCCGGGACGGTATCTATTCAAAAAATCCATTTTTTGCAGTCTTAAAAAAAATTTTTACCGTATCTGATTCTAGATTAGAAGAGGCATCATCCAAAAGATCGGGAAAAAACTGAGCCGGCTTAGGGGGTGAAGTCGAAGTGCTTGATTGGTCCCCATAGTCCGAAAAATTGCTATTAGAAAGCCACTCATGGACATTAAAAAACACTTCCGAATTCATCTAAAAAAGCACTTGTAATTGTAAATTTTTAAAGTCGAAATAAGTTCTACATCACTCTCCATTGGTTCGTCAATCTCCGATTTAGGTTGTTCAAGTTTTTTAGTTGAAGTTTTGACTTTGACCCAATACTTGTCATTGGCCGCTTCGAGTCCCTTTGTTACATTTTGAGCTGTTTCTAGAAACTCAATCACTCGAGGACTATTATTTTTATTAATGATTGACAATTCTTTATTTTTGTATTTTTTGGGGACACGGTAACTCCCCGGTTTCATATAAACAACTGCATTTTCCTCATCTGAATCATTATCATCGGATTTTGTGCAAAAATCACCAGAACAAGTTTGATTTCCTTGATCTACAGTTTCTGTCGACATCGTTGAAGGTAAATGAAGTATTCCTCTGACGTTCTTACTCGAATTCGATGTTGTATTAGTTAAAGTCGCAGTTGTGGCACTTTCACCGCTACTTGCACTTTTTTTCGTTTCACCAGTTTTCAGAAGACTCACCTTACAGGGTCTAGGATCAAGGATTTGGGATTAAAATTAAAGGATAATTACCTGAGGGGGAATTAAATTATTAGCTGTATGGACATTAACTGTTGGTCCCGGATTGCTTTGATTCACATCTAGATTATAAAAAATCCTAGTCAATTCCGTGGCCAATTCAACTGTTTCTTTTTCCCATCTTACATAACAAGCTTTAAAGCCCGGAGTTAATTCTTTTTCGATTTTTCCCAAAGCTGAACCTTCACGATTCTCCCAATAACCTTTCAGTATATGCCAACAGTTGGTGAGTCTAACAAAAGCATAAATAAAATCCTTTGTGGCCCAGGGAATCCCCTGTGAATGGATATTTGAAATAGTTGTTCTCGGCTTGAGTATCTCCGATCTTGTTCGAATACATAAATTTTGGATATTTCGAAAACATGGCCTATTGCGATTTCTATACGCAATTTGTTCGGCTGTCAAACAACTTCGTTCCAAAAACTTGATAAAACTATCAGTGTTCATTTGGAAGTCTTCTGAGTTGTTCTAAATTATACAATTGGTAAAATTGTATTTTAAGCATCAGTTAATTACCATGAAAAATAGCTCGTTTACTGGAGGGATGATGGGACCAGTGGCGAATTCAAATTCGGGTGGTTCCGGAGGAGTTCGTTCCAGATCAGGGACACTATCTTGGGAATCACCTCTTTCGCGTCGATCGCGTGTAGGTATGGCTATAGTCGAATCACTACCTGGATGACCAGTGGCGGTGCCAGTGTAAGTGGATGATAATTGTGTCATAGGCATGTTGTATTGACTACCAACGTTGAATTGAGTGTATTGATAATGTTGGAGATAAGGACGAGCCACAGTTTGAGGGGCTGCTGCGTAAGGGATTAACGGAGTGCGATAACTGATTGGGGGGTAGTAAGTGGTGGGATAGAGGCTTTGACAAGCGCATACGTGATGCATGTGCAAATGGACGTTTTGTTGGTGATTTCCGTTCACCTCGGGACGGTTTTGATCCATTGTATAACTTGGAAAGTTCTGAAAAGGAAGGGACGCTCATTTAATTTCTACTCAAACTTTTATTAGCTAAACTAAAACAAAAAATAATCCTAATACCAATCAAAATTTAGGGCCAGTCCTGTCCTGCCCATTCCTAACATTACAACAAAACCCCTTTCATACAATTTTCAGTCTCTAGTATCCTGTAATTACTCAAGCAATTCTAATACTTACATAAAATCGCACTAATTAATTCTTAAAATAACTTTTTTCACAACATTTCAAACACGGATTTGACGTACGAAAAAAAATTTGTTTATTTTGATGGATTTAGGGTCGTCATGGTAACGGGAGAGCTCAATTTTGATTTTGGTGTTCTTTGTAGTACCAACCTGATAACAAAATTACCAACTAGTTTTTATGAATTTTATAAAGTAGTTTTTCTTAATTTAATGCAATTTTTTATAACAACAGTCAATATAATTTGCTGCTTTTTATACAGTCGTTTGATATCAGTCAATTTTTCTATTTATTCTTGCGCAGGGGCCATGTCTGTCAATTCTGCCAACACCCAAACATGTTCCTAAATCGTTGGACTTTTTTACGGATGCTGATTTTTCTTTGCATCATTTTACGGTGGACAAAATTATGTTGGACGATTATTTTACGTTGGACACTTGTACTTTGGATTATTTTACTTTGGACAATTTTGTATGCGTCCATGGTAAGATCAATATAGCCGCGTTTTTTTAAATTTTTGTCACTAAAAAAATATTTGTGTTGAAGAAAATCATTTACGATAAGTGTGTAAAGGGCACAGAAAATGGTGAAGAGTAAATTGGTGACGGTTGGAATTGGGTATTTCTGCAATGGGGGAAAACGCTGCCCCGAACAAAGGCCTTCTAGAGTGGAACTGTTACGAAACGGGGTTTTGTGAATTTTGGGAATTAATACGATAACGAGTCAGTCTTAGCCCAGCTCCTGCACAATTGTTTGACTATAAAGCTGTATTTGTTTTTAACCGCAATGGTTGGTATTGCGGTTTCCCCTAGGGAAAGTTGCAAAGTTGGTAATGGTGTGTTTTTCGACTGGTATGTTTTGTGATGTGTTTTCTTTGAGAAAAATCGGGTCAAAAAGGGCAAGTTATAAATAATTAATGTTATAGTTTGGTAGTTATATTTATTTTACATTTTTAAATGTATATTTGTGGTGGTTATGTAACCTCAGATTTGGGGGGGGTTAGGATGGAACCGGTTTAAAATCAATCTTTTATTGATTTCTTAAGATTATAGTTGTGCATCTAAAAATAATATAACAGTAACGTTAGTCTATTATTATGATTAACAATCTCGTCAAATGATTTTATAGATAATTTTTTGGCAGTAAATTATTTACATCTAACGTTAAAGCAACCGATTATGAATAAATCAGACGACTATATCTACACGAACCAAACCGATTCGGTTTTTCTAAACAAATTGATTTAAAATTTATTTATCAAACAGCAGCGAAGTGACAACATCATCATCACCCAAACTGCGTTTTATTCTTGCACTACAGTTATTAAATTTTAAATCATTTTCTAGCATGTCTAATAACAAGATTTATAAACTTGTACTACAATGATATTGTTGCTTGTTAACGTTGTGCTTACTCAAGAAACAAATACCGTGCGATCAAAAAAAAAATAGAGTAGGTGTTGATTAAAGTCCTTCAGATGGCAATCCTGATTTTTGACATGAAATGTCAACGGAATCTTTGACGTGCAAGTTTGCGTTTTATTCCTTTTGAGTGAAATAATGTTCACTTTAGAGCAGAAAATTTTTATTGCTGTACAAGAGGAAAACGGTGGTCATTTTTCAGTTCGTGTGGAAAATTTCCAGCCCAGATTCCCAGCCAATGTGTTGCCAACTGTAGAATTTAATCGACGCCTACTCTAATTAATTTTTATTTGATCGCACGGTATATTATGTACTTTCCTATATTGTATCCAACAAACACTATAAACAAATTCAATTCCACACCGAAAACAGTTCGAGCAATTAGCAAACTGATCATGAATTACATTTATTATAAAAAAAATGTTATTGTTGAAGAGCAATGAGCAAAAAATCAACTCCAACACCTCACAGATGGACAATTAATAGGCCCATTAGTAACGCAACGGAAGCGTAAATTGTGCTGCTGCTATTACAACCGTCTTCCTCACAAGCGCACACTTCTTGACGGCCCCCAAAACCCGACCTTTGATAACATTTATTCTTATAAGTGGAGTCGTCCCAACCACAGGTCCTGATTATGCGACTTTCAGGTTGCACTGTAAATATTATAACATGAAAACTGATCAAATCTATTGAAATTTCTTACATCCATTGACTTCGAAATCAATCACTTGTTTGATTTTTCGACACAATTTGTACTTGGTTCCGGGGGCACTTCCTGGGGGCGATGAGTTAGGGCAATCCATCTCCAACTCAGTCTTGTATTTGGCGATATCGGTGTCGCTACATCTCTTATCAGCGTAACTGTTACACTGGTAACATTTAATGGCGTTACCTAAGATTAGAATAAATCAAATGAATTTTTTTTTATTTTTCTAGGTCAGAAAGTTAAACATTGATAAATTTGGTACAGAAATAGAATGAATCAGTGTTTATCATTTATGAACGACTTGTGTCAACAAAAACAAATCGGATCCAGATTTTCTCAACTTTTCTCTTTATTCCCAAATGGTACAGCTTATTGATCTCTGAAATGAAATTGCGCATGCGCACGCACCTTTCTTTTTTAAATTAATCATAATTAATTCATTTTTACACGATTCAGATGCTTCCAATTAATATAATTTTACTACAGTTGTTAGAAAAATTGTCCATAAATTAAATTGGAAAAGATTGAAAATTTCCAAGGGTGCGATTAAATTTCCACAGGCGCGATTATGTAATCATTATTGGTTCAAAATATGAATGTAACGCAAGTGTGACCGTAATTAAATTAGTTCAATGTTTAATTAAATTAGAATTGGAGGATGTTAATGTACTTACTTGATTTGAAACACACTAAAACGAGAAAAAGGGATAGTCCAATAATGTATTGTAAATGGCCCATTTTTTGGATTGTATTAAAAATTTCAAAACTATGGTTTAATTTAAATAAAATTGGATTTGGTGATCACGAAATGTTCAGTTTGAGTTCAATATGAAGACTGAATGCAGCTTCAAATAGGGCCTGCGCGAAACCTTGATTCTAACGGAAAGATTCATAAAGTGCGATCTACGTTTGACAAAAATTTAACAAAAGCCTGCTTTTCTAGACACTAACCAAAAAAAAATAATTGTGAGAGGATGTTTTGGTAATTAATTAATTAATTCAAAAGTAATAAAAATAAACAATCAAGTCGGAGTTACTGATAGACTAATTTCACGCAAATTAGGCTTTTTTGGAAAATTATTTTTGCAAAACTGATTTCGTCTCTTGTTATTTAGCAAAGTCGTGTCTACCCTGCTTTAATTTATTATCCTAATTAGTATTACGAAACCGTTTGGCACAATTGGATAATTCGACATATCCGTCCGAATTTGTTGCAATTGATGAAATAACACGTTGGATAACACCGTCCATTTTTCCGTTTTGCAAAGGCAAAACAGGAAATGTCACATATTCCTCGAGAAACTGTAATTTGAGAATAAATTTTGTTGTTATTTTTTTCAACCAATGTTGAGGAACTGTTTTGATCGAAAGGAAAATTTAAATGAATTATCCTATTAAGGTCAAGGGAATTGTGTTTATCCTAGGCATAAATAGGCCAGGTTAAGAAATCTTTCTAAAAAATTTTAAATGTAGAATTTAAACATTTATTTCTTTAATACTTGAAAAGATAGACAAATAAATAGAAAAATACATGATTGTTATATTTATTTGTTATTATTATAATTTGTTATACCAGAATTAACATTTTATGTCAAAAAAAATTAAAAGTATTACACTTATGTTGCTTTTTGTTAGTGAATTCACATTATTTTTAATGAAAATTGAGTAAAACTTCAGGCATTGTTATCATTATTTTCTTAATGCGTATTGATTGGAGGAGGGTCAAAGGTGAAAGATCATGTTGTAATTTTTCTTTTATAAAATATTTCATTCATAATACAAATTTAAAAAAATATATGTATGCAACCAGTTAAACACGTTTGCGAGTTTCCTATAAAATTACCTAGGTGTCGCTTTACCGGATTATTCCGATATGACGTCATATTAATTTCTGAAAATCCCTGAAAGAGATGACTCATATTGAAAGTTATTACGTCGTATTTGTTAGTATTTCAAGAACGATAGTATACAAGAAGTTAAAAGTTACATTGAAGAAAATTTAAAGTCAGTGTAGTGCAACAAAGTGAGTCATAAGAAACAAAAGCACGTCGCCTTTGAATTTAGTGTTAAAGTAAGTAAATGAGACAATTATTTAAGATTTATTATTGTTTATTTTGATAAATCTGAATAAAGGTCGAGTCACGCCTCATTAGAGACCTTCAATTTGTTTTTCATCTTCACTTAATGGGTTTGCCCGTTCTTTTGTTTGCAATTGACATAACCCTAACCTAACATTTTCGTTTCAGATTTTATGGAAATTTCTGATTCCATTTATTACTTCCTATTGGCTTTGGTCGTCCCTCCCGTTTACTTATTCTTCAATCTTTGGTCGTGGTTAGGTTGGGAATTGTATAAGAATAATTGATGAAAATGAGCGGCTCCAACTTCGATAATCAGAAAAACCTCACCAACATGAAGAAAAATCTCACTCTTGATCTCAACCAATCGAAAATGAACATGAACCTTTCGCTATCCCCTGATATCAGTTCGGTCCTCAAAGTGGACACCCCCGATCTCCTCAAAGTGGACACACCCACCATTGAAAACATTATTTTGGCAAATAACATTTCACATACGCCTTCCCCATCGCTAATCTTTCCTCGGGACGTCACCGTGGAACAAGAAAAGTTCGCAGGAGGTTTCGTGGAAGCGCTTAATTATCTCCACAATGGAAATTCCCAGCAGGGTTCCGATAGTAATGCCAGTACGGTTTACAGTGAGCAACAGAATTTCATGCCTGTGATTAAAGAAGAGCCCCAAACGGTGCCCAACGTCAACAATACGCCCCCAATGTCGCCTGTTGATATGGAATATCAGGAAAGGATGAAATTGGAGCGAAAGAGACAAAGGAATAGACTGGCCGCCTCCAAATGCCGCTCTCGCAAATTAGAACGAATCTCCAAATTGGAGGATAAAGTCAAATTATTGAAAAGTGAAAATGTCGAATTGGCATCAGTGGTCAATCAGTTGAAGGAACATGTGGGGATGCTCAAGTTGGAAGTGATGGAACACGTGAACGCCGGGTGCCCCATCATTGCGGGGCAGTTTTAGGGGGGATAACACCAGGATTTATATTTTTTTATAAAAACTATACTATATAGTGATTTTTATAATATTTTGGTGCTGAGATATTTAAAAATTACAAACTAGCTTTAATATTGTAACCAGAAGCCATTTAAATTCTATTATTTACAATAGATTTAGCGCGAATTGTTTTATTTTATGTAGTTTATCACATTTTTATTAGTAAGAATAGTCTCAGTATGGTGTTTTTATTTCTTATAGTTTGTACCCGTGACTTCGTCCACGCAGATTTTAGATATAAACTTTTGTTGTTTTTCAAAGAAGAAATGTGAAGTTAGTCTGTTTATCTATTTTTTTTTTTATTTATTAACTCAAAACAACGCAGAAGCAGAAAGCCAATTCTTAAGAAAATGATGAATGTACAGTCGAACAAAGTGAAAATGACGCTTCAATAAACCACCCCTGCTGTAAATTATCGGATTGTAAACTAGACCAAATTTTTTTAGGAGCCAGTTTACAGAAAACGAAATTAAAATTTAATTCGGAATTAAACTAATTCGAATTAAGTTTGCTATGTATTTTGCATTAACTAACGACAAGTTAAATAAAAATC